CACCATCACATCCAGTACAAGTTATGCATTCTTCTTGGCTCTGAATTCTCTGAGAAGTTTGGGTTTTTTTTTTTCATTCTTTAAATTAGAAGGTAATTCTCCTTGTTGAAAAAAAATAGAAGCTGAGTGGCCCTACCTTCCATCTTCTCAGTATAGTCCGTCCCTCCTATGCTTAGTATAAGACGCCTTTCTTGTTTCAGATGCTGTTTTTGAATCTTCTTCACATGTTCTCAAGTTTCTATTCCTTCTGGGCTTTAATCTTCTTGATGCTATTCTTAAGGCTTAGTGCCACTGTTGTTAATTGTCCTTGGCATATGAGTTTTCTGTTATCTGTGGTTCATGTCCTTGAAGTGTCAGAACTTATCAGATGTTTTTACCTTCCTTGGAAAAATTTATATTTTTAATCAGTTTTTTTGTGATATTGAATCCAGGGCCTCAGCATGTTAGACAAATGCTCTAGTACTGAGCTGTACCTCTAGCCTAGAAGATTTGTATTTTTAAAGCTTATTAATCATCTTTTTTTTTTTTTTTTTTTTTTTTTTTTGCTATTGAGGATTGAACTTTAACACTGAGCTACATCCCCAGTCCTTTTTTTTTTTTTTTTTGTACTGGGGATTGAACTCAGGGGCACTTGACCACTGAGCGACAATCCCAGCCCTATTTTGTATTTTATTTAGAGACAGGGTCTCACTGAGTTGCTTATCACCTTGCTGTTGCTGAGATTGGCTTTGAACTAGTGATCCTCCTGCCTCAGCCTCCCAAGTTGATGGGATTACAGGCATGTGCCACCATGCCTGGCCCAGTCCTAATTTTTTATTTTGGCATAGGATCTCACTAAATTTCTGAGACAAACCTCAAACTTGCAATACTCCTGCCTTTAGTCTCCAAAGTTGCTGGGATTACAGCTATGTGCCTCAATGCACAACAAAGCCTATTAATCCTAGAATTATTTTCAGAATTATTTACTCATCATTCACAAGTGAGTCTTGTCCTGTCATGTTATTGGCATTCAAAATATTAATTGCTTTAAGAACATGCACTAAATGTTACTGGTGGTTTTCTTTGGGTTTGAGGTATTACAGCTGGAGTTTCTTTTTCCTTTGTGCCTCTCTGCACTTTAAACAAATCAGTTGCTTTTGCTTTTGCTATTCCCATTAGTAAATTGTGGGGGGAAAAATGGCTTTTGTTGTTTTGTTTTTAGTGCTTGAGCCACATAATTTATATGGGTGTTTATTTAAGCTGATTTTCCTAGTCTTCCCCAAAAGTTTCAAATTATAAAGATAGCATTTGTCAGAAATTTCTATTGTTTAATCTTAATCAAAATTAAGGAATCTTACTTATGGGATTAGGGAACTCTTACCAAAAATATTATGGTCTACTCCCTCCATTTCTTCAACATACTTTTATTTGTTTAAATAATGTTAGGATATTTACAAGAACAATGATCTAAGGAAAATAAAATGTAAATCTAGGTGTGCCCATGTCTAGACTAAAGTTTCCTTAGGCTCAGCAAGCAGGCAGTTTGACAAGATAAGCTTCTTAACGTTTATATCTGGAAAAGGGTTTTTAAAGAATTTTTCTCTTTAGAATGGATTTGTAAATGTTCTGGTACTTCAAATATTGTGTGTAGGTATGCAGGGGGTTAAATCTTAGTACCAATATAGACTTAATCTTTTCCCCACAAACCAAATTTCATATTGTCCTTGTCTGTTGGGGCTACTGTAATACAATATCATATACTGGGTGGCTTATGAACAACAGAAACTTATTTCTTACAGTTTTGGAGGCTGGAAAGTCGGAATCAAGGGAGTGGCAAATTTGTTTTTTCTTGAGGGCTGACTTTTATCCTCTTTGGTATAAGGGGCAAGGCTGCTCTCTGGGGCCTCTTCTAAAGTGCACTAATCCATTCACGGGGGTTCCATTCTCACAACCTAGTACTTTTCCCAAAGGTCTCACTTCCCGATACCTTGAGGGTTAGTACTTCAGCATGTGAATTTTAGGAGACAGAAGTAAAATTTTCACAAAAATTCTCTTTTTGATACCAGGGATTTAACCCTGAGATATAACCCAGAGATACTGAGCCACATCCCCAGTACTTTTTTATTTTTTGAGTCAGGGTCTTGATAATTTGCTGAGGCTGATCTCGAACTTGCAGTCCTCCTGTCACAGCCTCCCAAGTTGCTGGGATTACAAGCGTATACCACCATGCCCAGCAAAGTTTTTATTTTTTGAGACAGGGTCTCACTAATTTGCACAGGCTGGCCTCCAACTTTTAATCCTCCTGCCTCAGCTTCCTGAGTCACTGGGACTACAGGTGTTTGTCACTATGCCTGGCAAAGAGAACTGTAAATTGGTTTAATTTTTTATGGTACTGATGATTGAACCCAAAGCTTCCCACATATGAGGCAAACACTCTACCACTGAGCATAACACCCTCCCCATAAGCATATGATTTTAATGAAGCATGCTCATCTCTTGGAGGAGGCATTTTCAGAACTTTGATAGCTTCTTTTGAATTTCACCTTTTAGTATCTCATACAGCACAGTTAGTATTTCCAATTGAATGTTACATAGAAGCTCCTCAGTTGCATGGATAAATGGATTTTGAAATAAGGAAATTTCCTTTACATTTACATTTACATTTACATTAAGGTCCAAACACCACTTCTGAAATTATAGTTTGAGCTCCAAAAATAAATCTGTAAATTTGTATGGGAATAGAGCTCTTGTTTCTCTGACAGCACAAACAAGTACCATAGAACAACTTGACATTATTTGTGTTGCCAGTGCTAGTTATTATTGGATTGATTAGTATTGGTTTTTAATATAAACATTGTTTGCCTTATTACTCATTAAGAAACATTATCAAGTCCACAGCAAAAGCTAATTTCCCAAGCCATTCATTGTTTGAAAGTAGTAATTGAGTGGTTTACTTCTCATTCAGAAAAAGAATTCAGTCTTTTCCCTAAGTACAACAAATCAAGAAAGTTTACCTATGTTAAGCCATCAGAATGCCACATGATAGAGCAAGTGTAGATTTCTGACAGAAAATCCATAGAACTGAGGATGGTTAAGTTCACAGAAGTGAGATTCACCATTGACGCCACTTGGTTCAATAACATGATGAATTCAAATATTTTCTGCATAGTACCTGCAGAATAACCACATACTTTAAACGCCTTACATTTTTGTAGGCTTTATAAAATTGTCCAACCAGGTCATTTTCCACTCCATACATACATTTATCATTTCAGTTGTAACATGTCTTAGTGGATCTGCTTCAGGTTGTGCTGAATTGTTTTCTCAACTTCCTTAAAAAAATATTCTCACAGTTTCATGCAGACTATTCATAGGGGTTACTTCTGCATTTAGTTCAAACTCCTTAAATAATCAACACTTGGCTCCTTGAGTAAACAGCAACTGAATATTATGAGTTATATTTGTCAACTAATCAGTAGCTAAGGAAAACCACTTCATAATTTGCATGAATATTCAATTGATTAGTGATATGACTTCCATTATCTTTGGCTTTTTGTACAAGTACATTCCTGAAAAGGCAAATACATTGTTATTTGTTTTGGGGTTTTTTGTTGTTGTTTGGGGTTTTTGGTGCTTGGAATTGAACACACATGCACTCTACTATTGAGCTACAACACCAGCCCCTTTTATTTTGAGACAAGGTTTCACTAAGTTGTTGAGATTGGCCTCAAACTTGCAGTCCTCCTGCCTTATCCTCCTGAGTCACTGAGATTACAGGAATGTACCACCATGCCCAGCTAAAAAGGTAATATTCGTAAATTTTCTCTGGACAGACTTCTGCTCCCAAAACAATTCCATTTATCACTGATAAATGGCTTTCCCTGATTAGGCAAAAATGAGCCACTTGTGAACTTACTTTAGTTGAAGGTTCGTTTTCAATTTTTAATAAAGAAATATTTTGGATGAAATACTTCATTTTTCAATTTTCTGATCTTTTAAGACTAGCTTTTCTGTGAACTGAGAGTATGACAAGTGTTTAGTCTAATAATATCAAGTGTATACTGTATTACATTAGCACATCTATATTGTCTGTGTGATAAATGCAATCTTTATCATGTGATGAAAATAATCTGATGTTCCTTTAAGCATGCCATGCAAAGTCCTTTTTTCTTTCATTTGACATGATTAATTTAGTAATTTCAAAAATGTCACATTATGGCAATACTCATGACAGCTGAAATACTATCCAGTTTTAACTGCATCATGGCAGCTTACACTGCACAAAGCAGCAGTGGAAAGCAGTGAGAGTGCCACTTACAGTCTGTCACAACTGCTCAACTCTTTCATTATAGCCCAAAAGCAGCCATAGGCAGTATGTAAATGAATGTATATGGCTTTGTTCCAATAAAATTTTATGAACATTGAAATGTGAGTTTCATATGACTTTTACATATCACAAAATATCCTAATTTTTAATTCTTTAAAAATGTAAAACCTGGAGATCAGTAGTTCATTGGTAGAGTGCATTCATACAAGACTCTAGGTTCAATCCCCAGCACCCCCTCCCACCAAATATGAAAGCCATTCTTGGATGGCAAGGGAATAGAAATAGGCAATGTGACTGGATTTGGCCCAATGGCTGTAGTTTTCCAAATTCTGACCTAGTGTTCCTAGTATTACAGTGATTTATCTGGAGGGTTTATGTTTTGCAGTTTTATTTATTTGAGGTCTTAAAATCCACATCTTGACCTACATTCTAGATTTTCACATAATGAAAAGTGTCTTAAGCCAGGTGCCGTGGTGCCCAGGAGGATTGCAAGTTGAAAGCCAGCCTCAACAACGTAGTGAGGCCCCAAGCAACTTAGCAAGACTCTGTCTCTAAATTTTAAAATATAAAAAGGGTTGGGGATGTTGCTCAGTGGTTAAGCACCCCTGGCTTCAATCCCTGGTACCAAAAACAAGGTATCTTAATAGTATACATAATGACCTGTTTTTAAGATTAGTCTCCTTTCTCCTTTTAGATAATTTTCCACTTGTTCATCAAGATGGAAAACTCGGATTCTAACGATAAAGGAAGTGGCGATCAATCTGCAGCACAGCGCAGAAGTCAGATGGACCGATTGGATCGAGAAGAAGCTTTCTATCAGTTTGTAAATAACCTGAGTGAAGAAGATTATAGGCTTATGAGAGATAACAATTTGCTAGGCACCCCAGGTATGCTACATGTAATTTAAGGATTTTGTATATGTAAATTGCTGGTTGTAAAAGTCTTGTTTCTTTAGTCATTATGAAAAAATGATTAATACAAGGAATATAGAATGGCATTTACTGCTGTACTTCTTACTTGATTCTATTCATTTCCATTTGGAAATCCTATCAGAAATTTTAAAGTTATAAATTATGAATTTTTAGCAAAATGAATAAAAAATGGAGCTGGACAATCTCTTTGTTCTTAGTTAGCTTTCTTTACCTTTTAGAAATGGGTCCAAGTGTGAAATAGATAATGGAAACTATAGTTCCTGGGACAGACCTTTATTTTGTCATCTCCAATTCTCCAAATATGTCCTAGATATAATCCTATAGAGTTAGTCATGGGTAAAATAGCAGTTAGAACTTTTGGTTATTCTCATTTGACCCTGGCTAAAACTCAGCATCTCTCTTCCTCCTCATTTCTATTTCTAATACACTTTGAGTGGTTGCATGTTTTGAAAGGTAAGGGTTTAAGCAGGATTTTTAAGAGGAAGTGTGTTCACTAACTCAGGAAGCTAAAGCAGGAGGATTACAAGTTCAAGGCCAGCCTAGGCAACTTACTATAAATAAGTTTTTTTAAAGGGTTAAGGACATAGTTCAGTTGTATAATACTTGCCTAGTATGTGCAAAGCCCTGGGTTTTGATCACCAGTACCTCAAAAAATAGACTTGTGGGGGTTGCATTTTGAGCCAACAGTACCAGACTTCAGTCAAGAATGCCTTAGTTGGAGCTCTGGCCCTGCTGTTACTTGGTGTGTCTTCTGGCAAGTCAATCTCTCTCTCAGTCTGTTTTCTCATTTTAAAATGCAGATAACAATATCTACTTCCCAAAATTGCAATTTTAAAAAATTAGATATTATATGCAAAAGTATTTTAAAAATTAGAGATTTTGTATATGTATATGTACGTGCTGGGGATTGAAGCCAGGGCCTCAAGCATTTGGCTCTAACAGTGAGCTACATCCCGGTTTTCACATCAGATATTTAAGAATCTCTAGTTTTCTTTTTTCTTAATTTTATAGGGTTTTTTAAACTATGCTCTTAACTACTTTAAACATAATATTTTTAACTACTTTAAACATAATATTTTTCTTATAATTTTCATGTATCACCATTGGGCACTGATGAAGTATTTATTCCCCTAAGCTTATTTTTGCCCTATGATGTTTTGCTTGTTGTAAGAGTCACTAGTATTTTATTTGTAATTTGGAAAATATTTTTAAACTTTCAGGTGAAAGTACTGAGGAAGAGTTGCTAAGAAGACTACAACAAATTAAGGAGGGTCCACCACCCCAAAACTCAGATGAAAATAGAGGTATATTTTGCTTTGGGAGGTGGGTAGGGGATGAAATGATAAGAACTTCATAATAGTAAATGTCAGACAAAGATTATCCAGAAATGGCACAAATTAATTTGGTGCTAAATAACTGCTCATAAAAAGAGAAGTGGCATTTTCTTGATATTTGGTGAGAATGTCAACATGTTTTTTTTTCTGCCTCACCTTTGGGTTGTTTGCATTAATTGGGACACAGTGAGGAAAGGCCTATTTAAAATGTGATTCCTTTTTCCTCTTGGTTTTCCACGGCCATTGAAATTTCTCCCTACTTAATTTCTTGTTTATAAATATATGGCTTTCTCACAAGCAATATGAAATGCTGCATTGTCTGTCCCAGTGGTTCTCAATAATGTGTAATTTTGCCCCCCCCCCCTCAGGGGAGTGTTGGCAATGTCTAGATACATTTTTGGTTGACACAATAGAGAGTTTCTACCAGCATCTAGCAGGTAAAGATGAGCAAGTATGTAGCCAAACATCCTGATATCCTATAATACACAGTATAGTTCCCAGAATTAATTGGCTTAAAATGTCAGGAGTGCCACTGCCAATAAATCCTGCTGTGACCTCAGGTTTGGTGTTTCCCTCCCAATATGAATTAGGGAATTTGACTATGACACTTAGAAGCTAAGAGCCTAGAAGTTATGTAGACTGATGAAAGTTTGACAGAAATAAAATTTGTACCTAAATACTACCATTGGTGTTTTGACAGTGGACTGAGAAAATGTTGCCTTCTGTCAGTCCCACAGTGGTATGCAAGGCTCTGTGTATCATGAAATACTGAAAATAGACTTCCTTCAGCCCTTTAAAGATAAAAGTAATTTTCTGGGCTGGAGTTATAGCTCAGTTGGTATAGAGTGTTTGCCTCGCGTGCACAAAAGCCGTTCAATCCCCAGCACCACACACACACACACACAAAAGTAATTTTCTAAATTTCTCTAGGGATTAGCTTACTGTTTTCAAATACAATTGAATTGCTCCTGCCTTTTACTTGCAAATCTATGTGGTAGAGGTTATAAAAATCTACAAATGTGAAAGTTGGTCATAATATTTAAGTTCTTTAGTACAGTGTTGCAGAGTGCTATTATGTGATTGTCCTAATTTTAGTAGTTCCTTCTCTCCCTCTCCCTACCCTTTGTTTTAAACAGGTGGAGGAGACTCTTCAGATGATGTGTCTAATGGTGACTCTATAATAGACTGGCTGAACTCTGTCAGACAAACTGGAAATACGACAAGAAGTGGGCAAAGAGGAAACCAGTCTTGGAGAGCAGTGAGCCGGACTAATCCAAACAGTGGTGATTTCAGATTCAGTTTAGAGATAAATGTTAACCGTAATAATGGGAGCCAAAACCCAGAGAATGAAAATGAGCCATCTGTGAGGCGTTCTAGTGGAGAAAATATGGAAAACAGTAGCCAAAGGCAAGTGGAAAATCCACGATCTGAATCAGCATCTGCAAGACCATCTAGGTCTGAACGAAATTCAACTGAAGCATTAACAGGAGAAGCTCCACCTCCTAGAGGTCAAAGACGGGCAAGAAGCAGGAGCCCAGACCATCGGAGAACCAGAGCAAGAGCTGAAAGAAGTAGATCACCCCTTCATCCAATGAGTGAAATTCCAAGAAGATCTCATCATAATATCTCATCTCAGACTTTTGAGCACCCTTTAGTAAATGAGACAGAAGGAAGTTCTAGAACCCGGCACCATGTAACATTGAGACAGCAAATAACTGGACCTGAGTTGCTAAGTAGAGGTCTTTTTGCAGCTTCTGGAACAAGAAATGCCTCTCAAGGAGCTAGTTCTTCAGATACAGCTGGCACTGGTGAATCTACAGGATCAGGACAGAGACCTCCAACCATAGTCCTTGATCTTCAAGTTAGAAGAGTTCGTCCTGGAGAATATCGCCAGAGAGATAGTATAGCTAGCAGAACTCGGTCGAGGTCTCAGACACCAAACAATACGGTCACTTATGAAAGTGAGCGAGGAGGTTTCAGGCGCACGTTTTCACGTTCTGAGCGGGCAGGTGTGAGAACCTATGTCAGTACCATCAGGATTCCCATTCGTAGAATCTTAAATACCGGTTTAAGTGAGACTACATCTGTTGCAATTCAGACCATGTTAAGGCAGATAATGACAGGTTTTGGTGAGCTAAGCTACTTTATGTATAGTGATAGTGATTCAGAGCCTAGTGGCTCCGTCCCAAGTGGAAATATGGAAAGAGCAGAGTCACGGAATGGAAGAGGGGGTTCTGGTGGTGGTAGCAGTTCTGGTTCCAGTTCAAGTTCCAGCCCTAGTTCCAGTTCTAGTGGTGAAAGTTCAGAAACTAGCTCAGAGGTATTTGAAGGTAGTAATGAAGGAAGCTCATCAGGCTCATCAGGTGTCAGGCGAGAGGGCCGACATAGGGCCCCAGTCACTTTTGATGAAAGTGGCTCTTTGCCTTTCCTTAGTCTGGCTCAGTTTTTCCTCTTAAATGAGGATGATGATGATCAACCTAGAGGACTCACCAAAGAACAGATTGACAACTTGGCAATGAGAAGTTTTGGTGAAAACGATGCATTAAAAACCTGTAGTGTTTGCATTACAGAATATACAGAAGGCAACAAACTTCGTAAACTACCTTGTTCCCATGAGTACCATGTCCACTGCATCGATCGCTGGTTATCTGAGAATTCTACCTGTCCTATTTGTCGCAGAGCAGTCTTAGCTTCTGGTAACAGAGAAAGTGTTGTGTAATTAAGATCTGAACTCTCAGCTATGTAGCTGATATAGTGATGGGCAAATAGGAATCACTTGCTTTATGTCCACTTTTTGAGTGGTGCTTAAATGTAAAGGAACAACCTGAATTGAGTCATTGCTTTCTGAAGGAATCATGTCCTTTTTCCAGTTTCTGTTTGAGAATGAGATATTTAAAAAGCAATGTTTTAGGATCTAAAAATCTGACTTCAGTACCAGTTGAATCAATAGCTTTTCTGTTACTGATGATTTATCATGTATACTTGTCAGTTTCCCTTTGTTATTTTAAAAGATCTGCCTTAGCAATGGCTCCTGTCTGTTTCTTGTTGACCTTTAACATTTCCCATGCTGTAGGAGAGAGGGGTGAAGGAAATTCCCAGTTAAGACTAAGTTACAGTATGTGTTTCATAAGTAATTACTTAAAGCTATACCATTCCCAGTTTAGTTGACACAAATTCAGTCACATTCTGAATATTGTTTGTTCACCTTTCAGACTAGTTTGATACTGGACATGTCACTGTAAATAACACTAAAGTTAGGATCTTCTAAGTGTATAACTGTCTCCTAAGCCCATCACTGTGGCACACTGTAGAGTGAGCTTATAGTTTAATTGAGATATTTATCTTGTGGAAATATTAAAAAGCCTATGCTTGTGTAAGTGAAAAAAAATCACGTTCATTTGTTTAAAAATGTAAAGCTATTTTGTAGAGGCTCAGTACTTTTCCAATGCACTGTTGTATTAATGCATTAAAAATTGTAAAGTACCATGCTTAGAAATGAGAAAACTGCTTTTTGTGAGCCAACATAGTTAAAAAACACACCAAACAAAGTACGAAGCTGCTTTTGTAAGTGTGTAGATGTCAAGAGCAGAACATATCTATAATATTTAATGTATGTGAACAGCTACTGTGACATGAAAAGGAAAGGACCGTGCAGAATTAAACTACATTAAAGACCAATGGAAATCACATATTAACTTGGATTTAGGCAGGAAGTGAAAGATGGAAGTAAAGAAAACTGCTCTGAAGAATTTGAAGTGTTCATGAAGACAGTAATATGCAGACACAAACTGGTTACATGCTGTGAGAGCAGCAGCAGCTTGTCCCTGTGTTCTACTTGAATAGATGAAGCAGAAGACCAGCAAATTTGGAAGAGCTTTCTTTGGTTTATGAAAAATGAACCACTTACCACCTAACACAAGTTAAATTGATGTTTTTACAAGTCTGCTCCTCAAAAATAAAAAGGTGGAGGAAAGAGACTATAAACCACTTTTAGCATAAGAATTGCAGTTGGTACAGATGTGTGTGCTAATAGGAAAGTCTCGAATTTGCTTGTTTTCAAGATTTGTCCTGTAAGGTACTAGTACACACTTGTTAATATTTCATTATTATCTCTCTAGCACAGATCTAACATGTCACATTTAAAAGACCTGTTGAAGAATTAAGGAATTTTCATCCTTTGTTGAAAGTGAGTCATGTTGGGTTATTTGAAATTAAATTTTAATTGTGCTGCCCATATCTGAAGATGAGATTGCTGGCTCACTATCTATGGACATGCACTTTATGTTGTTTTCTTACTAGTAAGAATAGTTTTGATAACCCCAGTACACTTGCCTAATTTCTCTTTTGAGACCAGTTGAGGTTAGGATTAGTCTGGCTGTGGAACAGATACTTGTTTTTCTGGGAATAGCAGGCCAGAAGAGGGACTGAACACATCCTTGGCCTTAAACAAAATTAGCTAACTACCCAGAAATATTCAAATACTGTATGAAATAAACAAGTCTGCTTTTGGAATTACCTGGCTACCTTCACTGTTATCACCTAAGCTGTAAAGATTATTTCAAAACTCATTCTTTCATGTTTTCTTCTGGCTTTCAATCCTACCTAAGTATCAAGGAAATTAACTTGTGTAAATATGGTAGTTGTTTACTAAGGATATGTACTGCTCTTGCAAGGAAATAATGTCCAAACAAAGCTTCACTTATTTTTTTTAATATAAGCAGATTTCACTGTTTATGGCGCTTATGTAATACATTTTATCTTTTTAAAAAAAATGTCCATGTGAAAGTAAGGATTCCTTTATATTTGTGAGCCTCCTTGTCTCCTTCCCTTAAGGGTATAATCAGTGGTTTTCATATCTGCAGGGTAATACTGATTGGCTGAAAACAAGTCCATTTTCTTCTTGATATAAAATATTCCATTAACGTAGGGGTGGTCATTTTAAATAGTTTTTAAAACAACTGCAGCACATTCTAAGCATAAAAGAGTTATTGGCAACAGGTACCTCCCTAACTTCCCAAGATGTATTACTTATTTGTGAAGTATTAAAACTAAGAGGTAACTCAAGCAGAATGCTGGTCATGAATGTAGATGTTGAAGCTCTTCATAAACACTGGAAATAGAACTTTTTAAGTTTTTAGCCTTCGGTAGAATGCACATACTGGACATGTGCATGTGGACACCTTTTTCATTAGCACTCTTATCCATTGGACTGCATAGAATGAATACAAGTATTTTTAGTGGAATTTGCTACAAAGTCCATAACTAATGTATGCTTACTAATGTTGTGGACATTGAAGACAAGGTCATTTGCAGGTGTCAGATGTACAATGGAGAACAAAAATCCTTTTTCCCCACCAGCATCCAAACACCTATACTTGAGAGAGCATTTTCTTGCAAAAGACTTTACATTTCATTTTGTATCTTTGCACTTTTTCTTTATTACAAAAAGGTCCTGTCTTTAAGACCTACTTTGAACTTCATGCAGTAGTAGGAACAAAAACAATGTTGGGAGATCACATTGTTCAAAGCATAGGGAAAAGTACTAAAATCTGAATTTCCTTGAATATTTCAGATTTTTTTTAATTCACTTAGTAGTGTGAAACATTTGCAGTGTTTTGTTTAACTCCAAGCAGCTGACAAGGTTGAGATTTACTAGTATCAGAAAACAAAACTGAATAAGTTTAGATTAAAAGTTTGCTGACTGTTTGTATCAGCACTAGAAAAGAGTGGTGTTAATTTGGAACATTTGCTCTAAAAAGAACATTAGTTAAACTCAGTGGTGTTAATGGATGTGGGGACTGAGAAAACTGTTCACATTAGTGTTGGATTGTAAGTAATAATTGTACAGTTAATAAGAAAACCTTTTAACTCCAGCAGGTAATACACATAATCTTTAAGACCATGATTATTGGAATTCATCCAAACTTTAAGATAGGAAACTAACTGGTTAGCTCTAAGTATTACCTCAATATTTTCCCCCCTGGGAAAACATCCTTTCCGTGCCAAGTATTCTCTCCTAGTGTCAGTGTCTCTCATTTATCAAGGGTTATCACTTAATTTGCTTTGTATTTAATCGCCTGCTTCCCAAGGGTCCACAATGTGAAATGGGTCAAGCGTCAGCCATGATTTTCAGTCAGTTCCCAAAATACCTATGTGGTAGAGAAATATAGCAAAATGCCTCTTAAAAGGCCATTTTTACAGCTTACTAGAATACAGTGGCACCTTGTGGTGGTGGTTAACATTTTTAAAGATGGACATTTTTATCTGCCCCTTTTGTTCTTTTGTGAATGAAAATGATTTGCCTTATTTGATTTTTTTTTTTTTTTTTTGTAAATGTTTTACTTTACTGGCTTCCCTGTCAAATTTTTACCAGCATTAAGTACACAGAAGCCATGTTTTCAGGGCACTTTTATTTTTTACTAGTCTTCTAAGACTTTGCTAATTGCTACTTTCTGAAGTATTCTATACCTTAGCAATCCAAGAAATTGATAAGACACATGTTGAAGTGTCTGTTTTTCCTTTTTAGTGTAATTCTTCAGTATGTTTAATATTCAATAACAGTGTTGTAATTCATTGAGTTAACTAGTAAATTGTGTGCTTTTGAAAAAACATTTGGAAATGTACCTTGATGAAACATGCTTCATTTGGAAAATGCAAGGTCTGAGGAACTAGTATTTGATTTTAAAATCAGTTTTAATAAGCAGCTAAAACCAGCTGTGAGTTCAGTATACCTGGCCTTTAAAATTTTTAGCATTCTGAAACAATTTTTTTCTTTAACTGGGCAGTTCTAAAATATTATCTAATACTCTCAATGAGTTAATGTTATTTAAATCTACTTTGTATCTCAAAGTCTACAGCATAGAATAGAATTGTTATGAGGGTGTTAGAACTCTCAAGGGATAAAGCAACAGTTTATCAGTTTTATGGTTTTTTCCATGTCTATATAGGTGTTTGGATTCAGATCTAAAAGAAACAGTCATACCATGCAACACTCAAAATTTCAATCAGATACTTGTTTTTGATGAGGATTTGTTTACTAAAAGTTCCACTTGGTTCTGGTGGTGGCTATCTTAAAGACATGTAGTGAAAGTGAAAGTGAGCCCCATCATACATACCACTGTGCCTCATGACTCAGAGTTTCCTTGATCAATTCCTCATCCTGCAGATTTACTCCATTACCAAGGTTTGGTTGAAGAACCAGCTGCCCAGCCTTAACTCTGTATTTAGTGCCCTGCTACTAACATTCTTCTAACTGATTGATGTTTTAACTGTCCGATGTTTGGATTTTACCTCTTGATACAAGCTCCATTTGTCCCTGGTGCTGCTTTTAAAGATATAGGGCCATGTGATCAGGTATCAAGTTGAGTAGGTACGCAGTGGGCCTGGTTGTATACCCGTGCCTGTTTTATCTTCTCCCAGGAAGAGCTGCTTTGGTATAGATGTTTACTTGGATTCACAAAGAACTGGGCAGCAGTCTTGGAAAGTTGTCTGAAACCTATAAGAACCTGAAGGGATTTGGGGGGAACATTAATAAAGGCTGCCTTTATGTCTTTGAACGTGAAGCACATAAATGTATGTTCTGTAAAGACTAAAGTGATTGTTGTACCAGGGCTTCCTGACCTCTGGGAGAGAGTTTCAAAAAAGCAGAGAGGAGCACAAAGTGAAGTGAATTTGGTTGGGTGGTTTTATCTGGTTTCTCATTTTCTTTCAATTTAAAGCTGAACATAACACCCTTCTCCAATATGTATCCAGCAAACTCCTGGTTGGGAAGCCCTGTATTAAATTTTGAGAATGTACCCAGTTTTCTTATTTTTTTGTACAGTGCTTTACACCTGCTAAAAATTAACTTGTTTAATGCAAAACAAGACCTTGGAAGGTCAGTCATATTAAAGCTGGTTTGATTATTAATAGTTATCTTTTAGGAAGAAGCTTTTTCCCTATGTAAGATGTCATACTGCAGATTTAAAATATAGACTATCAATAAAATGCATGAAGTGATCATTTGTGCTTGATCATATCTCCTTGGGGCTTTCTTTAATAAAAGGGGAACTCTGATAAAGATTGTGTTGCTTCAAACCAATGTCAAATAGACTTGATTTTTAGAATCAAGTGGAATAAGAGTGCAACCTAGATTTTTATTCCAACCTCACTGCTATGAGTGTGGGCAGGTACTGATTTATATAAACTTCCATTTTATCTGTGTTGTATAGTCCAATGGCTTAATCTTTGGTAAAATAAAAGATTAAAGTATATTCCAACACAAGAATCCTGGGAAGATTTATGTAAATGACATTTTAAGTAGGTGCATCTTTGCTGTTCTTGTATTCTCGCCATTGCTCTGATCTCCCTTGCTTTGTCTTCATATATACAAAAATTTTCTAGGTGTGCGTGAGTGCTCGTGCAGTTTGTTACCACCCCTGTCTCCAACCTCTTAAACATGTTGCCTAAACCACTAAGATTTCTTTGTTTCCAAGTAGGTCGTCATATTCAGACACCTGGATAAGGCTTCCCTTGGCATCCATTTAGCCAATGGTGAATTTATTCTAGTTTCATTTCCTCTGGTGCCTACAGAGCTCTCTATCATTGGCATCAGAACTCAGTTCCTCAGGATAGTTTTGGTATTGTCAGCTCTTCACCTGTGACCTAGGGTTTAAGTTTTAGGTGGACACATATCTTTATTTTACATTTATGTGGTGCTGAGGATAGAATCCAGTGCCTTATGTATGCTAGGCGAGCGCTCTACCCTGAACCACAACCCCAGCCCCGTGACTTGGGTAACTCACAATTCTAAAAAAGTTTGCACTAGAACAATGTAAGATGCCCATATATAGGCATCTTTTTGAGGAAAAGTTGGTGAAAAGGACCCTGACACCTAAAACAGAATTTGATAAATTTGGGTGTATTATAAACTGCCCTATTTTTTTTTTCGTTGGGTGCTGGGGATGGAATACAGGGCTTTATACATACTAATGATCATGTACTCTCACTGAACTATACTCCCAGATCCTTAATGGAAATTTTCTTTTACTAGGGTCCAGTTTTTTTTAAGGTCTTGGAATTTGGTTAAGATTTAAATGTAAAACCTTGCAGATGGATGACTAATAGCCATATTACAAATGGCTAAACTGGTCTATCAGGCTTTATGTTAAATACTCTGTATCAGTTATTTAGCCTTCACAGTGAGGTGGAAGTTTACCACCCTGTTCCATAGGTGAAAGCTAAGATACATATGTTATTTCCACTCATTAAATTCCAGAGTTTTTCTTCTTTGTGCCCTTAATCCTGCTACCATATGACCTTATATTTCAATTTTCCTTCCAAGCCCTAGGGTCAATTGTTCATGAGGTATGATTTCTTAGAATAAATGTCAGTTAGGGCTGATTGTCCAAGGTACACTTAGAAGAGCAAATTATTCTGGGGAGGATTAAAGATTATAATGTGCTGGACATAGTGGTGCATGCATGTAATCCCATCTGCTCCAGAGGCTGAGTTAGGAGGATCCCAAGTGCCAGGCCACCCTGTCTCAAAATATAAAAGTTACTGGGGGGTGCAACTCAGTGATGGAGTGCCTCTAGGTTTAATCCCTAGAACACACACAAAAAATGTAAATTTTGGTAAATCACATACGGCATTACAAAATACACATAAGCATTACAAATAATGGGAGTCTTCATCTTAGTAGGTTAAGTATCTTGGAATCAGCTCTAGGACAAAAGGTATCAAAGGCTGGGTGTGGTGGCACATGCCTGTAATCCCAGCAACCAGAAGGGGCAGAGCCAGGAGAATTGCAAATTAGGTAAGCCTCAGCAATTTAGCAAGGTCCTGTCTCAAAAAAGGGCTGGGAATATAGTTCAGTGGTAAAGTAACCCTGGATTCAGTCTCTAGTACCTTAAAAAAACAATTATCAAGGTGTTCAATTCCCAGCACCACCACCAAAAAAAAAAAGTTCCATTGGGCAGCCACAGGGATTCTAAGAATGTTTTCTTTGCTCTAAAGATAATAGGAACTTGTCTTTTAGAAATAGTTTTATAAGCCATTGAGAAAACCATCCCTATTCAGTTTGTTCACTTTATTTGCCATCCTTGAGGTGAATCTTAACTGTTTCCAAGAATCATCTTTCTCTCAATGGATAGAGGTTTGCCACCCTGAAGCATATTCAGGAATGTACTGTACATTCTAAAGGCAGTTTTAAATGAGCCATTTTTAAACAATAGATACATTAGTGTTTAGAATAAGGAAACGGCTGCTGGGGTCAGTACTTTGAGAAAATTATTACAGCCATATGTAGTTCCCAGCACCTGTAATTCCAGTGACTTGAGGGGCTGAGAGGAGAATTACAAATTGAAGGCCAGCGACTGCGGATGTAGCTCAGTGGTAATGCATCCCTGGGTTCAATCCCCAGTACCAAAAAAAAAGAATTATTACAAGTCATTCAACGTTTGAAACAAGGATACAATCCGCACTCACAAAAAACAGGTATTTCAGTGGGGAGACTTGTAGATAATATTACCAAAACCTTAAGGGACATACATTCTGTAATTGTCTCCATTCAAATGCATCAGAACTGCTAGAGCTAGAATGATATTCAAATTTGGGTGGAGCATTAAGGAATAATTGGGTGAACAAGGACGGGCCTGAATTTTGAGTTTGTTTCCTCAACTAATAGAAATAGATGTGTGTTGTACTCAACTACATCCTAGGCTAGTCTAAAGTTTCTGGTCCCTTTGTTTTTGGCAGGACGGAGACCTAAAGCCTCTGAAATATTGCTGGGTTTCTCACTGGATGGTCTTGGTGACTACTTTTTTAAAAGATTCACTGTCAGTCCTCTATATGCACCAAATGTTCTAGATTAGTGCTGTCCAGTAGAAATATAAAGTCTCATGTAATTTTAAATAGCCACATTGCAAAAGGTAATGTGTAAAGAAATTTTAATGTTTTATTTAATGCAATAAAGTAAGTATTTCAACATGTGATCCATATAAAATTTTTGAGATAATCACATTTTTTTCATGCTGAATCTTCAATTTGGACTATCAGCATCTCAAGTGCTCACTAATCACATGTAGCTACTATATTGTATGGCAAAGTTCTGGAACAATGTGGGAGAGAGTGAATAAAGTGGGTAGAATGCAAATGGTGGTGAGCTTTACAAGTTCAGCTTTGGATATGCATAAACACCTTATCTGCTCATCCACACTACCCAAGAACTAAATAAGCCTCGTTCTTTTAATTGTGCACCAAAGCTATTTGCTTAAAGTGCCTATCCAGGCTTACAAAACTACCATCTTTCTACTCTTTTGAGGTTAAAAGACTACACCCCCTGCCAATGATTGAACTCTTAATTACCACAATACCTTAGCTAGTTAGGGAAACCCATTACAACTGCAGCATTATGGAGCAGTCAGTATCAGTTGTTACATTTATTTATTGCATAAACAAGCACCCCCAAATTTAGAGTCTCTTAATTCAGTTTCCTAATAGGTGTTAAAATAATACAGATCATTTCCAAGCAGTTCATCTGAAAATTCCTGTATTTGAATATTCCTGGCATTTGTTAGAAGTGGCTAATCTGGATTTACAACGTTTCCACTTTATGTCAGACAGTGATAGTATATAGTTTAAGTGAGTTTTCTGGGGTGGGATAGGAAAAGTATACAATATGAGAATAAAGATTCAGTGAAATCAAGTATTTCCCAACATCAAATCTCTCTGATGCCATTGCTTTTTGTTTGGTTTGGTTTGGCAACAGGGAGTGAAATATTAACAGTCCTGTGAAGAAAGAACCTTTGGAGCTGAGGTTTTAGAAAAAGCTGATTCATTTGGCTTGGCTTTACTTGTATTTTCTGAGTGAATATAACATTTTCTGTGGAAGAATCTGAAAATAATTTAGTAATAGTGAATGGATGTCGGTTTCTAGTGTGATTCCAATCTCTCTCTAGCACAAGAATCTTACTGCTTACTTGTAAGAAGCCGTCATCCAGCTTTTTTTTTTTTTAAAGAACAATACCCAGTGTGGTGGCACACACCTGTAATCCCAGCAATTTGGGAGGGCAAGAGAATCACAAATTTGAGGCCAGCCTCAGCAACTTAGCAAGACCCTGTCTCAAAATAAAAGGGTCTAGAGAGATAGTGGTAAAGCACCCCTGGGTTTAATCCCCAGTACCACAAAAAGAAAAGGTCAAAACCACCAGGAAATAAACAATAAAGCTGGAGAAGCCCTTTTTCTTTCCTTCCTACCTCAAGGTATTCTCTTCAATTCATGCTATTGGCATATTGATTTTCAATACCTATAAGTTAAATCTCCAACATATGTTTTTGTTTTGTTTTGTTTTGTTTTTTGGTGTTGAGGATTGAACCCTGGGGAGCTTAGCCACTGGACCACATCCCCAGTCATTTTTATTTTTTATTTTGAGACAGGGTCTCACTATGTTGCTTAATGCCTTGCTAATTAGCTGAGACTGGCCTCAAACTTGAGATCCTCCTGCGTCAGTCTCCTGAGTTGCTGGGATTACATGCATGCACTACCAAGCCTGGCTTCCAGCACATATTAAGTAGGCATGCCTTAGGCCTTATTACCTTTTCAAATATGGCAGTTTAATGGGGTTGGGGTTGTGGCTCAGTGGTAGAGCTCTTGCCTTGCACATTTGAGGCACTGGATTCAATCTCAGCACCACATAAAAATAAAGGTATTGTGTTCACCTACTATATATAATTTTTAAATGGCAGTTTAAAAACCAGAGCCTAGAATGGGTTCGATTCCTGACAGCATCATGGGAACTCAATATCTATCCACAACTGAACCAAAGTGCCATGAGGCCCATGAGAAAGCATTCTATGATTTATAGCACCCACACTCTCCAATCACCACCACTCTACACTCTGAAAGGTTAAGGTGAACTTCCGTTATGGCAGAGAGGGAGGTGGAGAGATGGTTATGGATTGATGAGTAAGTCACATCCCAAAATGTGTATGTATACTTATTAGCTGTCAGGCCTTTTCAC